ATTAAAATTCTCAAATTTAAAACTATTTTAATTATTTCTAAGTTTTAATTACCTTTAATTAATTAGCACCGGTCATATAGTGTTGTCCAAACAAAATTTAATTTTAAATCAACCGAGAAACAAAGATAGCTAAATAAGCCAATGAAGTAATTAGCTCATCATTCGTTCTATTCTTCACTTCCTGTTCGACGTCACGCAAATATTTGATCTGATGTTAAAATCTTGCCCTTTCAACTTCGTAACAGGGTAATCAGTCTGAGATGGCTTACAAGTTTATATTTCGGATTTTATATAATGTTATGCTGTTGTTCTTGATTGAGTCGAAAGTGCTGCTACAACAAACTGCTATTTATTCGGACCAGGAATTTTTTTCAGGTATCTCTACGGGGGTGGGGGGGGGGGGCCTCCCCGAAGAAAGTCTATCGTCCCCCTATACCGAAATAGAATTTATACAGAAAAAAATATACTTTTACTATTGTCCGCCCCATCTCCCCTCCCAGAAAATTTAGTCCGCCCCCCCCCCCATGCCAAGTGCCCCCTCCCCAACCTCAGAGAAAAAAGTCTGAAAGAAACACTGTTGAGTAGGTGAAGGTCGTGTGGTTGATTCTAGGGATCGGGTGTCAGGCGGGCTATCATATGATGGCTAACCCAAATGTCTCGAGTTCGGACCCCAGGGCAGATCGGCCAGAGGCCTAGCGACCCCTACCGGCGCCCGGGGACAAACTTTCAATTTGGCGCCCCCCCCCCATATTGTTTATATTTATAATTCAAAACTGCAGCTAAATGAGCTTTTAATTTTTTTTCCAACCCCATTCTGCCGCCCCTAAGGCTCTCACTTCCCCCCCCCCCCCCCCCACCCCCCCGAAGAAAGTCTACCGCCCCCCCCCCCTCCCGAACCAAATAGAATTTAAATAGAAAATATATACTTTTATTAACAGTGCCCCCCCCCCCCGAAAACTTCAAGTGCCCCTCCGGAGAAAAATCGGCGCCCGGGAAACATATATACCCCCCTTCCCCCCCCCCCCTCCCCGTCTCTACGCCTCTGAATGAGGATCCTTCATTTACAGCAACCCATCTAGGAGAAATTCTTCCAAATTAAAAAATGCTGCCTTGTATATTGTTCTTTGCTAGACCAAGTCTATGAAAGTAAATTAAGAAAGAAAATGACGAAAAAGTATAACAAGTTATTTTATTAACCAGAGCTAGACGATCTACATATTGTATCGTTGTATGTCATTTAATTAAAATCCACGGTTTATATTACATAAAAGAGGTCTACGAATCAAGTAGCATATAAACTAACGCAGGTTGTTAATTTATTTTTAAAACTGGCGTCTGAAGAAGAAGAAAAAAAAATTAAAATATCATACTCAGAAATAAACCTTTAAATATTTAAACACGTATAAATATTATGTCTAAATAATATATTTGAATTAGAAGCTGTTACAGCTTTGAGTAATGCAGAAAGATATTAAATTATGTTTTAAGCAGCGTTTTTTTGAAGTTTTGGTTAGGTTTCGGGAGATAGAGAATACACCTGTAGTGTAGATGGCTGGGCTGACATTACTGATGAAATGTAAACAGGGATGTTTTGTCTCTGTGTGCAAGTTTGATGAGTTGGTTCAATAGACTGGAGATCTATTTACACTGTATGTGGTGGGGTGGGGGTTGGGAGGAGGCAGTAGATCTCTCCCCATATCATTAGCATTAGAATGTGGGGGGATGGGGGAGTGATTCAAGTTGAGTATCACGACAAATGTAATAGAAGAGACAGCAAATCTAACAGAAGAGACAGCATATCTAACAGAAGAGACAGCATATCTAACAGAAGAGACAGCATATCTAACAGAAGAGACAACATATCTAACAGAAGAGACAACATATCTAACAGAAGAGACAACATATCTAACAGAAGAGACAGCAAATCTAACAGAAGAGACAGCATATCTAACAGAAGAGACAGCATATCTAACAGAAGAGACAGCATATCTAACAGAAGAGACAACATATCTAACAGAAGAGACAACATATCTAACAGAAGAGACAGCATATCTAACAGAAGAGACAGCATATCTAACAGAAGAGACAGCATATCTAACAGAAGAGACAACATATCTAACAGAAGAGACAGCATATCTAACAGAAGAGACAACATATCTAACAGAAGAGACAACATATCTAACAGAAGAGACAGCATATCTAACAGAAGAGACAACATATCTAACAGAAGAGACAGCATATCTAACAGAAGAGACAACATATCTAACAGAAGAGACAGCATATCTAACAGAAGAGACAGCATATCTAACAGAAGAGACAGCATATCTAACAGAAGAGACAGCATATCTAACAGAAGAGACAGCATATCTAACAGAAGAGACAACATATCTAACAGAAGAGACAACATATCTAACAGAAGAGACAGCATATCTAACAGAAGAGACAACATATCTAACAGAAGAGACAGCATATCTAACAGAAGAGACAACATATCTAACAGAAGAGACAGCATATCTAACAGAAGAGACAGCATATCTAACAGAAGAGACAGCATATCTAACAGAAGAGACAACATATCTAACAGAAGAGACAACATATCTAACAGAAGAGACAACATATCTAACAGAAGAGACAGCATATCTAACAGAAGAGACATCATATCTATGCTTGTACATAAAATTTAAAAATTCGAATAGTGGGCTAGCTCGCTTTCGGTGTAAGGCAGAGGCGTCGCTAGGCGAAAGCGGGGGGTGCTTTTATTCTCTGTAATATTTGTGTGCGCTCGCCGCTCCTTCCGGATACGCCCCCGCTGCTACCTCCCTCCCACCACACCCCACTTAGTATTATATAAAATGTTCTTGGTCGGTTACTAGCAAAGACAATGAAGCCGGTCCCAACAAGCATAGAAAGCTCTGAATATGCCCTAATACGTCAACATAATTTGTTTACCAGAAACATTGAGCTTGTTTACGTATTGATACAACCAGCTGTTGGCATACTCTTGTGATAGGGGCAACTACAGGCCCGGGTAGCGCTATATCTTTACCAATTAGCACGCCATTTTCACGTCGTTATAACTATTCCAAGCCCGGGCTGAGCTACATTTGTATACATTAGCCCACCAATTTTACGTCATTATAACTATTCTAAAGGAAGTTATGTAAAGGAAACGTGTGGAAAAAGATTAGAAGGAGAGAGGTCAAACATTCCAACATGCAGATATAACAGAGACAGGCAGAGATGGTGTTCACTTGTTGATGCCTAGTGCGCCATTGTGCGTAGAGAGATTATGTTAATGTTTTGAAAGAAGTTATACCAATGGCACGCACATTGCTTTCCCTGCATGAAAACTTGGACTTTATTTTTATTCTTTTTTTTGAAATTTATAATCTTTATATCATTTTAAATTATGAGAAGCTTTTCAGAAAAGTATGTTGGTATATTTCCTGCGATATTGGTAAGATATTGCGCAACTTTCGTGCGTTTCTCTGAAAATGAATTCTAAGCAAATATTATTTACAAAATTACAATGTACCTCCATGCTTAAAAAAATAAATGTGAAATGTCTTGAAAAGTTAAACAAGAAAAATACTTACGATTTTGATGTAAAAAGTAATATTTTAGCTTTAAAATTCCTGTTTCAGTCGCCAGCAGTTCGCTACCTCACAATGTCCAACTTTCTGTAGTCGCCAGCAGTTCGCTACCTCACAATGTCCAACTTTCTGTAGTCGCCAGCAGTTCTCTACCTCACAATGTCCAACTTTCTGTAGTCGCCAGCAGTTCTCTACCTCACAATGTCCAACTTTCTGTAGTCGCCAGCAGTTCGCTACCTCACAATGTCCAACTTTCTGTAGTCGCCAGCAGTTCGCTACCTCACAATGTCCAACTTTCTGGTCGTCCACGGCAGAATGACCGAGTGCAAGACGCTCCTGCTCTTATAAGAAAACCCTTGAGCCGCCCCGCCACTCCAGAGCCGCAGAAAACACGGCTCTCTCACGCGCTCCAAGTTTAAGTCCTCGTCAGTCACCTCAACACATCACTTAGAGCAGCTTGCAATCGCTCGTTGTTTCTTCTCTTCAATCGGAACTCTTTTGCCTGGAGTGGAAATCAGGGGAAATTTATTGACGCTCTTTACACGCGAGGACAAAGATCCCTCATCAAATAAAAACAAAATTAAGCTAAAACGGAGTTCACATTACTAATAATTACACCTAGCTATTGAAGCATGTCAGGTCATCTTAAATCAATAGAGCGGTGTCGTTTAAAGCAGGCTTCAGATGCTATAAGTCGTCATTAAGTTCATTGGCCCTGGCCCAGTTTTTTTCCCAACCCCGTGGCCCAAACCACACCCAAACTTACCAGCCCAACGGTCGACAATTTTGACACAACTGTTACACGCTACCCCTTTCTGGTAGGTGTTTGCTTCTAAAAATGTATTGTGCAAATATCTACGTATTACAATTATTTAAAAATTGCCCAAATGTAACATATAATAATAAAAGAATAAGAACTTTTAAATCACTTGTGTGTTTGATTACCTGGATATTACTTATCAGGTTTATCAATCAAATACCCATTCACAATTAATCATAACGTTTTTGCTAAAACACTAAATCTAACACAAACCTAAACCTAATACTAATATTTCAACAACAACAAAATCTAAACAAAACTAATTTAAAACAAACAGCACACTAACCTAAAACTGTCATTAGAGTGTAAAAACATGTTTGACATGTCCGCCCATCTTTCAAAACCTTATATGACATTTCCACTTCAAAATATAACAGCTCGATATTAATCAAGCCACACCGAACTAGACGTTTTTCATGAACCAACAGGCTTACAATTTTGACCGTTGACTATCTCGAGTAATCCTCCGAGGTTTTGGAAATGAGCGACTCCAGTCATTTTGTTGAGTGGAATTTAGGACGGCCTCATACCAAAAGATATCCTCTACGGGAATCCTATCAACGGTACAAGGGGTGACCCACGCTAAACTACAGAGGTGTTTGTTCACGAGAGCTTAGGCAACCAGACAAACAAACACATGTGTGAGCTAGGATTTGCATGGTCACAATAGAGTCTGCACCAAAAGAAAATATCATCTTAATATCCAGGCGCAATATTCCACTAGGCAAAAGGAGCCATATATAATAAATATAGTATGTATTGTTGGTAGGGTATATAAGTGTATTAACAGATATTGTAAGTTTTATCAATCCTCTGAAATAACACGACATGTTGAGATTAGTTAACTATTTGCCCTTCTCTCAATTTAAACGGGACAGATCAGAGATTTTTTATTGATGTATGTCTCCATTGTATTAATTAAAAAAAAATACACACTGAGTCTCAGGTATTCTTCTGACCAGTGCTATAGCCCAGGGTCAGAGTGGGTGGAGTTGGGAGGTGATTCAGTTTCGCCGAATTTTTTTGTTTTAACCGGGCGCCGGAAAGGGTCCTAACACCTAAGCTCATTAGTCATCAACTCTTCGACCTAATACAATACAACTGGTGTACAAAAAGGTTAAATCACTCTGTAAAATGATGAATGCGTTTATTTGCAAACTTCGATTGTATAAATTTCAGCAATGTAGCTCAAATATAGATTTTTACTTAAGCGCATACCCCTAGCACCGTCAGTGTCCCCCCCCCCCCCCACCCACTCCCTAGGCTAGTCTATCATTTTATAGCATAACTAGGCATACTGCCTATCTTCGCTTAGGTTTTTAAATAACATTTGAGAATTTGAATACTTAATTATTTAGCGATGGATTTGGTGTTGAGTGCTTTAATTTAAACAGTAATGCTAATTTTAGAAAAAAAATGTTTTAGTTTGTCATTTAAATACCGTTCTCAGAGAAATATCGGAAAGTACGCAATGTATAAGTAAAATGGTATTAGAACTACACAGCTTCCATGAACAGTACATCTCATAGTTTTTATTACATTGCCTTTTGAAATTTATTTATTTATTTAATTGGGATACGTAACTAAATTAACAACTTAATTTTGTACTAAAACAAATGCTATACTTCGTCATTTTCTGTTTCTGTTTAAAATAGTATACAATTATTTGAAAAATAATAATTTAAAAAACGTTACCTCCCTTGAAAACTGAACGTATGACGTATGTCTTTGTTTTTTTTTTACAAACAGTTGCTATGCTTATATAAGAAATTACGGTATATGAACATATTTAACAACTATAATGGCTGTTTCCGACGGGATTAAAGTTTTTTTGTTAGCCTCCAGGGTCGGTCTACGACGTCACATAATATTAAGGGGATCGTTCGTCAATTTATTTATCTATATATATAAAGCAAAGTGGTCGGGTGCCCGATAGGGCACTTCCCGGCGCCGCAGGCGCGTCAAAGTTGGCACGAAGGTGCCTTATGGCGATAGAACACGAGGGCCGGTGACGGTTTGGCAAAATGTCTACGGAGAGGGGGTCAAAACTGACCTCGACTGACCGGCGCCTTATATGGGCTATATTACAAAAAAAAATTCCTCCGACGACCCCCCTTGAAATTTTGTGAGCTGGTAGGAGAACACCTTGGGGTGTCACAAAAAACTCGGCATATCTGGGAAAACTTCGTAAAGGGGTCAAAACTGACCAGTTGTATTTCCCTATATAATCTTTGTATTTTATGGGAAAACAGGGTCATTTCATCGCAGACTTTAGGGTACTTAAGCTCAGTATATCTGGCTAATTTTTTGCATGCTCCTAGGTCAATGGATTGACCTTTAGGGAAAACTGTCGGTTACACTCAAAGCCCTCGACGAGGGCTAAAAAGTGACCGCAAGTGAAATTCTCTTTATATGAGCTCTATTACGAAAAAAAATTTCCTCCGACGACCCCCCTTGAAATTTTGTGAGGTGGTAGGAGAACACCTTGGGGTGTCACAAAAAACTCGGCATATCTGGGAAAACTTCGTAAAGGGGTCAAAACTGACCAGTTGTATTTCCCTATATAATCTTTGTATTTTATGGGGAAAACAGAGGGTCATTTCAACGCAGACTTTAAGATACTTAAGCTCAGTATATCTGGCTAATTTTTTGCATGCTCCTAGGTCAATGGATTGACCTTTAGGGAAAACTGTCGGTTACACTCAAAGCCCTCGACGAGGGCTAAAAAGTGACCGCGAGTGAAATTCTCTTTATATGAGCTCTATTACGAAAAAAAAATTCCTCCGACGACCCCCCTTGAAATTTTGTGAGGTGGTAGGAGAACACCTTGGGGTGTCACGAAAAACTCGGCATATCTGGGAAAACTTCGTAAAGGGGTCAAAACTGACCAGTTGTATTTCCCTATATAATCTTTGTATTTTATGGGAAAAACAGAGGGTCATTTCAACGCAGACTTTAGGGTACTTAAGCTCAGTATATCTGACTAATTTTTTGCATGCTCCTAGGTCAATGGATTGACCTTTAGGGAAAACTGTCGGTTACACTCAAAGCCCTCGACGAGGGCTAAAAAGTGACCGCAAGTGAAATTCTCTTTATATGAGCTCTATTACGAAAAAAAAATTCCTCCGACGACCCCCCTTGATATTTTGTGAGGTGGTAATAGAGCTCATATAAAGAGAATTTCACTCGCGGTCACTTTTTAGCCCTCGTCGATGGCTTTGAGTGTAACCGACAGTTTTCCCTAAAGGTCAAGCCATTGACCTAGGAGCAT